GAGATTTATGTGCCCAGTATATATTTTCTCTAATAAAATATAAGTTGTATTTTGCACAAAAAAAAAATTATAATAAATATTTTCGATGACAAAAGAAAAAATGTAATCTTATATATTTGGATAAATTTTAATCGAATTGAGACAATCATACGAAATACGAGAAAATATTGATCTTATAGATCAATGGTTTTTCACAAAAAATCTATATGAATTACAGAAAATTAATATCATAATCGTAAAAAAAAATTTGTTAGTCGTTCGTAAAAAATAATGGTTTGAGTTCTCATTTTTCATCGTCGAGAGGCGACATTGGCTTAACTTTTCGGAGTTTCTGTGTTGTTGCGCATGTCTGCTCTTGTTTGAAAATTTTAATAAATAAGTTTTTGTAAACCCTAATCCAATTTTTTCTTTCTTTTTTTGGAAGCTAATGTTTCTCACTATCCCTTACTTCACAAAGGAGGTTAGGATTTGTGACCCCTAAAAATATATGTTCAAGCGGATGTTATAAACAAGCTTGAAGAAATGTGGAAAATATTCAAGTGTATTTTGCTCTGTGTCAACATTCAACAATGTCGGATACTTTAGGAGATTTAGAATATCACAAGCCACCAATGTATATCATGATGTTATTTGGTATAAATGGTTTGGTTTGAGTTGGTTATATTTCCTGGTTAAATCCTTGTGCATATTAAAAAGGCTGAAACTCTCCGTTTCAGCCAACGAAGCCTTGATCTTCATCATTTTCCGACTCTTCTCTTATCTCGAAAGCTCGTTCTTCGTTCATAGTGAGAGGGTTTAAAAAAGTGACAAGTTTGGGATATGTGCAACACACGATAAATAAAAGCATTTGCCTTTAGCTAAATAAAAAAGGTCACACAAAACCATTTATGGAATAGAGTAAAAATGTGTTTTAAAAAGCTTTACCTCAAGAGTCAGAACACAGAAAGAACCTAAAATAGCTCAATAGCAACTAACAAATCTCTTTTCACATTGTTCATCAGAAAGAAGAAGAAAAAAAACCATCACATTAAATCCAATTCACAACTCCATTGTTTTTCTTGTCACTTAAGCACCTCCCCTCCAATCTGCAAATACAAACATTTTATACCAAACCATAACCAGAGAAGATACATCAACCGAAGCCAAACTTTCTTAGCAAACCAAACAGTTTATACCAAACCTGAATGCAAATCACTGGACTCTAAATCTCATACGGGTTCTGGTCCAGATCAATTTTCTTTTAGTATTCAGAGGAGTTAAGAATTGAAAGGAACATACCAATTGATTGCTCAACGACCAGCGTTCAGCGAAAAGAGCATGCTTTGTCCACCGGGTAAGTAAGCCACGTTTGGAGACCTAGCGAGTGTAGCTGCAACCTCCCTCGAAGCTTCAATCCTCCTAAGCTCAATTAGACCCATTCCTGCTTTAGCTGTTGCGTCTGAAATCAACTGAGCAGCTTCGCTCTCACCTTCCGCTCTTATAACCGCGGCTCTCCTCTCTTGATCAGCCTTCATCACCACAAACTTAGACCTCTCTGCCTCTTGTTGAGCCACTTGTTTCTGCTCAACCGCCCTCGAGAACTCTGGACTGTACGACAAATGTGTGATGGCTACATCGTCGAGCTCGATGTTAAAGTCCCTAGCACGCTTGATCAGAGACTCACGGACAAGTGCTGAAACTTGAGGACGCTCAGTGAGTAGCTGATCAGCGTTGAATTGAGCAACCACAGCTTTCAAGACCTCGTTTCCAATCGAGGGAAGAACCTTTTCGTCATATTCTAGACCCAGTGTTTGGAAAATCGTCGGGAGACGCGTAACCTCCACACAGTGAATAACCAAATCAGCACATTAAATCCCTCAAAATTCCAAATAAACCATACACTCGAATTCAGAATGAATCTAACACCAAAAGCGGATTATCACAAACCCTAGACCTTCTATACAAAATCGAATGCAAAATCGAGAAGAGAGATATATACCTCGGGGCGAGAGAGAACACGAAGGGTGAGATTAACCATCTGGAGATCCTTGGTACCGGAGGTGGAGGTGAAAGTGTGAGGTTTGGTACGGATATCGAAGACGTACGGCTTCTGGAGCCATGGGATAAGGAAATGAGATCCTTCACTGACCGTCTGATCCATCACTCCCCTGAATCGATCGAACAGTACGGCTCTCTCGCCACCGTCAACAGTGTAGAGCGACGTGTTCACTACCGTCGCCACCGTTCCGATACCAAACGCTGCCTTCGCCAGATTCGTAAGGAACGAAATTGCTGCTTGTTGGCTTCCCATTTTTTTGCCCCAAAAAAACTT